CCATGCCTGGCTAATTTTTGTATTTTTAGTAGAGACAGAGTTTCACCATGTTGGCCAGGCTGGTCTTAAACTCCTGACCTCAAGTGACCCTCTACTTTGGCTTCCCAGTGTGCTGGGATTATAAGCATGAGACACCATGCCTGGCCAAAAGAAAAAATATTTTTAAAAAGTGTATAGCGTGTTTTAAGCTAAGTGTTACAAAAATCAAAAAGTTAAACAAAATTTAAGTTTATAAAATTCAAAAGTTCCGGTAAGCTAAGGTTAATTTATTATTGAAGCAAAAATTTTAAATAAATTTAGTATAGCTTAAGTATACAGTATTTATAAAGTCTACAGTAGTGTATGGTAATAATATGCAAGGCCTTTATATTCACTCACCACTCACTTGGTGACTCACCCAGGGCTACTTCCAGTCCTGCAGGCTCCTTTCATGGTAAGTGCCCTATACAAGTATACCATTTTTTATCTCTTATACTATATCTTTCCATACCTTTTCTGCTTTTAGATATATAGTAGTATGTTAGTCCATTTCCATGCTGCTGATAAAGTCATACCTGAGACTGGGCAATTTACAAAAGGAAGAGGTTTACTGGACTTACAGTTCCACATGGCTAGGGAGGCTTCACCATCATGGTGAAAGGCAAGGAGGAGCAAGTTCACATCTTACCTGGATGGCAGCAGGCAAAGAGAGAGCTTCTGCAAGGGAACTCCTCTTTTTAAAACTGTCAGATCTTGTGAGATTCACTATCACAAGAACAGCATGGGAAAGACCTGCCCCCATGATTCAATTACATCCCACCAGATCCCTCCCACAGCACGTGGGAATTCAAGATGAGATTTGGGTGGGGACACAGCCAAAGCATATCATTCTGCCCCTTGCCCCTCCCAAATTTCATGTCCTCACATTTCAAAACCTATCAGGCCTTCCCAACAGTCTCCCAAATTCTTAAGTCATTTCAACATTAACTCAAAAGTCCATAGTTCAAAGTCTCATCTGAAACAAGGCAAGTCCCTTCCACCTATGACCCTGTAAAATCAAAGCAAGTTCGTTACTTCCTAGATACAATGGGGGTGTGGGTATTGGGTAAATACAGCCATTTCAAATGGGAGAAATTGGCCAAAACAAAAGGGGCTACAGGACCCACGCAAGTCGGAAATCCAGCGGGGCAGTCAAATCTTAAAGTTCCAAAATGATCTCCCTTGACTTCACATCTTGCATCTGGGTCACACTGATGCAAGACGTAAGTTCCCCTGGTCTTGGGCAGCTCCACCCCTGTGGCTTTGCAGGTTATAGCCTCCCTCCCAGCTGCTTTGAGGAGCTGACATTGAGTGTCTGGGGCTTTTCCACAGGCCCAGTGCAAGCTGTCAGTGGATCTACCGCCTGGAAGATGGTGGCCCTCTTCTCACAGCTCCACTAGGCAGTGCCCCAGTAGGGATTCTGTGTGGGGACTCTGACCCCACAATTCCCTTCACACTGCGCCAGCAGAGGTTCTCCATGAGGGACCGACCTCCACAGCCAACTTCTGCCTTGGTATCCAGGGGTTTTTGTACATCCTCTGAAACCTAGGTAGAGGTTCCCAAACCCCAATTCTTGACTTCTATGCACTCACAGGCTCAATACCACATGGAAGCTGCCAAGCTTTGAGGCTTGCACCCTCTGAAGCCACAGCCCAAGCTCTTCATTGGCCCCTTTCAGCCATGGCTAGCATGGCTAAGACACAGGGCACCAAGTCTCTAGGCTACACACAGCAGGGGGACCCTGGCCCTGGCCCATGAAACCATTTTTTCCTCCTAGGCCTGCAGGCCTGTGATAGGAAGGACTGCTCTGGCATGCCCTGGAGAAATATCTCCCATTGTCTTGGAGATTAACATTCAGCTCCTCATTACTTATGCAAGTTTCAGCAACCATCTTGAATTTCTCCTCAGAAAATGAGTCTTGCTCTGTCACCCAGGCTAGAGTACAGTGGCGCAATATCTCGGCTCACCGCAACCTCCACCTCCCAGGTTCAAGTGATTCTCCTGCCTCAGCCTCCTGAGTAGCTGAGACTACAGGCATCTGCCACCATGCTCAGCTAATTTTTGTATTTTTAATAGAGACAGGGTTTCACCATGTTGGCCAGGCTGATCTCAAACTCCTGACCTCAAGTGATCCACCCACCCCAGCCTCTCAAAGAACTGGGATTACAGGCATGAGTCACCACACCCAGCCAAATTTTCTGAACTTTTATTCTCTGCTTCCCTTATAAAATTGAATGCCTTTAACAGCACGTAGGTCACCTCTAGAATGCTTTGCTGCTTAGAAATTTCTCCTACCAGATACCCTAAATCATCTCTCTCAAGTTCAAAGTTCCACAAATCTCTAGGGCAGGGCCAAATTGCTGCCATTCTCTTTGCTAAAACATAACAAGAGTCACCTTTGCTCCAGTTCTCAACAAATTCCTTATCTCCATCTGAGACCACCTCAGCCTGGACCTTATTCTTCATATCACTATCAGCACTTTTGTCAAAGACATTCAACAAGTCTCTAGGAAGTTCCAAACATTTCCACATTTTCCTGTCTTCTTCCGAGCCCTCCAAATTGTTCCAACCTCTGCCTGCTACCTAGTTCCAAAATTGCTTCCACATTTTTGGGTGTCTTTTCAGCAGCATCCCACTCTACTGGTACCAGTTTACTATATTAGTCCATTTTCACACTGCTGATAAAGACATATGTGAGACTGGGCAATTTACAAAAGAAAGAGGTTTATTGGACTTAGAGTTCCACATGGCTGGGGAGGCCTCCAACATGTGGGAATTCAAGATGAGATATGGGTGGGGACACAGCTAAACCATATCAAATAGTTAGCATTGTGTTACAATTGCCCACAGTATTCAGTACAATACGATTTTGTGCAGGTTTGTAGCCTACAAGCAGTTGGCTATACCATATAGCCTAGGTGTGTAGTAGGCTGTATCATCTAGGTTCGTGTAAGGACACTCTATGATTTTTGCATAATGATGAGATTGCCTAACTCTCTCAGAACTTATCCCTATCATAAGCAATGCTTACTATTATAATCCCAGATTATATTGGTGCTTACCATTGACATGCTACAAGGACATGATTTTAACAAAACAAACCACCACCCCTATTCATTATCATCCTCAGCACCATCCAGCGCCTTCTACTACTCTGCATGATCATCAGTAGGAGAATGTATGAGTTTCCCAGGGATGCTGTAAAAAAGTACCACAAATGGGTGGCTTAAAACAAACAAATGTATTCTCTCGCAGTTATGGAGGCCAGGAGTCTGAAATCAAGGTGTCAGCGGGGCTGTGTTCCCTCTGAGACACTGGGTAGATTCCTTTCTTGCCTCCTTCTGGCATCTTGTAGTGGCCATTAATCCTTGATATTCCTTAGTCTGCACCTGCTTCACTCCAGTCTCTACCACCAATGTCATGTAGTGTTTTCCCTGTGTCCCTGTCTTCATATGGTGTTTTTTCTTCTTGTAAGGCACCAGTCATATTGGATTGGGGCCCAAACTAATGACCTCATCTTAACTATTACATCTACAAAGACTTCCAACAAGGTCTTATTCACAGGTACCAGAGTTAGCACTTCAGCATACCTTTCTGGGGGATATAATTCAACCCATAACAGAGCCTTATGTTCTAACTCTGAGATCTTGAGTAGAGGCCTCATTTTAATAGCATGACTAATTTTTAATAGCTGTTATGGAAATTTCATAGTATATTTCTCTGTCTTTAAAAAATGTTTTCTCTCTATTATACAATAAGCCCTGCAGATGTATTCAAACACACATGTGTTTTATCTTTTTCTGATCATAAATGCTAGAAACTAAGCAGAGATGAATGGTTCTCTAACTAGGGCTTATAAAAGATGATGAAAAATAGTATTTCTCAAATCACAATATATATGCCCACCAAAATAAAACAGAATTACACAAGAGTTTGGGAGGTATTGTTTAGAACAGAAGCTCATGTACACTGTTCATATACACTGCTCATATACACTGTTCCCCTTGCCACAATAACAGGAATCTTATACATAGACTTATACATACAGTTTAAGCAATGTCAGAATCTATCTATATAGTAAAATAAATAGCATGGCTTTTGAAATTGTATTCACGTGTTGGAAAATGTTATATACTTGACAAGTGCTATATACAATGCAAAGTAACTTTGGAATAAAAAGAACAGAATACTGTCTTCTGAGCCCCTGTCTAATGGTCCCATTGCTAGTTTCAATTCTGTTTGAAATAATGCTCCCAAGTATTTTATTTGTCCACAATGCTATCATCTCTGCTCCGTCATAACGCAAGTATATTTGAGTGTCTGTCATTCCTTAATATTCTGGTGTGGTAAATATAGCACTCTGAAGAGGAGGACTGGAGAATCTGGATTCCTTTTTGAAAACAAAACTTGGCTGGGCGCAGTGGCTCATGCTTGTAATCTCAGCACTTTGGGAGGCCAAGATGAGATCATGAGGTCTGGAGTTCAAAACCAGCCTGACCAACATGGTGAAACCCTGTCTCTACTAGAAATACAAAAATTAGTCGGGTGTGGTGGTGTGTGCCTGTAATCCAAGCTACTCGGGAAACTGAGGCAGGAGAATAGCTTGAACCTGGGAGGCAGAGGTTGCGGTGAGCCGAGATCGCACCACTGCACTCCAGCCTGGGGGGACAGAGGAAGACTCCGTCTCAAAAAAAAAAAAAAAAAAAAAAACGAGAGAGAGAAAGAAAGCAAACAAAACTCCTCACCCAAACCATTGTCCTTTTCCTAGACAGGGCCAAGATATTATGCGTATTTGTTGTTCTCACCAAGGCTTGGATATCTTCAATGTTTAGGTATTTTTTCTCTTTTCCCATTTTGAACTAAAGAGTTGACTTATTCTTACATTCCCATGGCTACCTCACCCATTTCTGTTCAAATTGCAGTTATAAAATGAGATTAAAATTTTACTTACTCTTTTCTTTTCATTTCTTAAAACAACACAGGGCAATCTAGAGCAGCCATGATACCTCCCAAGCAGCCACGACAGCCCAAGGGAGCTGTGGATGATGCCATTGCCTTTGGAGGGAAAACAGACCAAGAAACATCCAGTGCTTCCCAGGCTACCCCACCCCCACTGCCAAAGAAGATGATCATAAGAGCCAATACAGAGCCAATCTCCAAGGACCTTCAAAAATCCATGGAAAGTAGTCTTTGTGTCATGGCTAATCCCACCTATGATATCGACCCCAACTGGGATGCCAGCAGTGCTGGTTCTTCCATCAGCTATGAACTCAAAGGACTGGATGTTGAGTCTTATGACTCCTTGGAAAGGCCTTTGCACAAGGAGAGACCTGTCCCCTCAGCAGCAAACAGCATTTCCAGCTTAACCACTCTCAGTGTTAAGGATAGATTTTCCAGCAGCATGGAATCCCTATCCAACCGGCGTGGGCCCTCTTGCAGACAGGGCCGAGGCATCCAGAAGCCACAGAGACAAGCACTTTATCGAGGACTTGAAAATCGGGAGGAAGTAGTGGGTAAAATCCGAAGCCTTCATACAGATGCCTTGAAGAAACTGGCTATTAAATGTGAAGACCTGTTCATGGCTGGGCAGAAAGACCAGCTCCGTTTTGGAGTGGACAGCTGGTCAGACTTCAGGCTGACCAGTGACAAACCATGTTGTGAGGCAGGTGATGCAGTTTACTATACTGCTTCATATGCAAAAGACCCACTTAATAACTATGCGGTCAAGGTAAGAAAATACTATCTCTAAATCTCATGTTAAGTCTTAACCAGTATATTGTTATGGGATAGATTCATTCTGCTTTTCTCCTTTCTTTCCTTCATTCCTCCATTCAGCAAGTTATTGAGCGACCTCTTACCAGATGCTGGATTAAGCAGGGGGCTTATTTATTATTTAGAGAAAACAGACATGTAACTTAACAGAATTACAACAGTATACTGCATGCAAAGATAGAAGTAAACAAGAATTCTGTGGGATCTTGGAGGTACCTTAACTCAAACTCTAGAAGTCAAATAAGTATTTTTTTTTTCTTTTTTTTTTTAGACAGAGTTTTGCTCTTGTTGCCCAGGCTGGAGTGTGCAATGGCACAGTCTCGGCTCACTGCAACCTCTGCCTCCTAGGCTCAAGCGATTATCCTGCCTCAACCTCCCAAGTAGCTGGGATTGCAAGCACCTACCATCATGCCTGGCTAATTTTTGTATTTTTGTAGAGACGGGGTTTCACCATGTTGGTCAGGCTGATCTTGAACTCCTGACCTCAAGTGATACACCTGCCTCGGCCTCCCAAAATGCTGGGATTAAAGGCATGAGCCACCTCACCTGGCCAAAGAAGTCTTTTTTCCTGGCCAGGTATGGTGGTTCATGGCTATAATCCCAGCACTTTGGGAAGCCAAAGCAGGTGGATAGCTTGAGCCCAGAAATTCAAGACCAGCCTAGGCAACATGGTAAAACCGTATCTCTACAGAAAAAAGAAAAAATTAGCCAAATATGGTGGCTCACGCCTGTAGTCCCAACCACCCTGGAGGCTGCGGTAGGAAGATCACCTGAGCCCAGGAGGTCAAAGTTGAAGTGAGTCATGATCAAGTCACTGTACTCCAGCCTGGGCAACAAAGCGAGACCCTGTCTCAAAAAAAAAAAGTAGGTAATCCTTGAGCTTTGCTCTTTGCAAGGGCTGCCTATAAATATAAGATCTGTTGTGTACCTTTCACTGTGTGTTTCTGTCTTTTTTTTAGGCTGGAGTGCAGTGGCATGATCATAGCTCACTGCAGCCTCAGGTGTGCACCACCACACGACTGATTTTGGTTTTTGGTAGAGATGGTGGTCTCGCTATGTTGCCCAGGCTGGTCTCAAACTCCTGGCTTCAAGCAATCCTCCTGCCTTGGCCTCCCAAAGTGCTGGGATTACAGGCATGAGCCACCATACCTGGCTTATATTTCTAACCTTAGTCTCTACCAGCTAAGAGATGCTTGTCTACCTCTGCTCTGTAACTCCTGTGCTCCCTAGAGAAACATTTTTATAGAAGAGGATAATTAATATGTATTGATATGCCTGGAACTCTATTTTTGTTATGTAATTTGATCTTCACATCAACTTTATGAGATTAAGCTCTTTTTGTCCATTTGACATGTGAGGAAAATGATGCTCCAAGATGTAAGCTGACTTGGTTAGGATCACACAGCTTGCAAGTAGTAAAGCTGAGGTGTTTTTTTTTTGTTTGCTTTTTTGAGATGGAGTTTCTCTCTTGTGCCCAGGCTGGAGTGCAATGGCACGATCTCGGCTCACCGCAAGCTCCGCCTCCTGGGTTCAGGCAATTCTCCTGCCTCAGCCTCCTGAGTAGCTGGGATTACAGGCACGTGCCACCATGCCCAGCTAATTTTTTGTATTTTTAGTAGAGACGGGGTTTCACCATGTTGACCAGGATGGTCTCGATCTCTTGACCTCGTGATCCACCCGCCTCGACCTCCTAAAGTGCTGGGATTATAGGCATGAGCCACCAGAGCTGAGTTTTAAACAGAAATATTTCTGACTTCATAGCTACATTTTGTCCATTTTGTCACTTATCAATTTCTTACATGTAGATCACTTATTTCAGATAACCTGCTTCTTCAAGACAGCTAAACTCTTGACATCATTTAGCTTCTTCCCTAGGTTACTTTAAGAGAGTAACAATCTTTGAGCCTCAGTTTCCTCCTCTTTCAGATGTTTACAATGAGGGGAGGATCAAGTGAGATAATGCTTGTGAAACGTTTTTGAAAAACACAAAGCCCTGTGTAAACTTAAGATAATGTTCTCCATTCCCATAGTCCCTTTTTACTGATTCTGTTCAGTGGTTCAAAGCCAATTCACATATCTAAATGACTTTTACATGTTAATTTGGCTTAGAAAGACCAGATGGTATCTTAGTACGTTAATGGATAAGGGAAACGATAGGCCTTCCTGTCTATCAAGACAGAATGTATATTTGAAACAGACCTTCAGCTAGCTGCTACCCTCTGCAGTTGCAGTATCTACACCAGTTGACTGTCTGATGTCACTGGCAGAGTAACCCTGTGCTCCTGCCCACACTTTTTAAATTCAGCTGAGGGTTAAACTGTAAGGAGGGGATCTGGATTCAAGTTAATACATTACTAGTGAGTTTTAAAAGGCATTTTGAGATTCTGGTATAGCTCTCAAGAGCTGTTATATAAATTGGGGTTATGATGCCTTATCTATCTTGGGCCCTTATTCCTGCAAAATCACCAATGCAGGATAAGTACCTGTTTCAAAGGGACATTGAGGCTGGGCGCAGTGGCTCACACCTATAATCCCAGCACTTTGGGAGGCCGAGGCAGGTGGATCACGAGGTCAAGAGATCGAGACCATCCTGGTCAACGAGGTGAAACCCTGTCTCTACTAAAAATACAAAAATCAGCTGGGCATGGTGGCACGTGCCTGTAATCCCAGCTACTTGGGAGGGTGAGGCAGGAGAATTGCTTGAACCCAGAAGGCAGAGGTTGCGGTGAGCCGAGATCGTGCCATTGCACTCCAGTCTGGGTAACAACAGCGAAACTCCGTCTCAAAAAAAAAAAAGGGACATTGAACTATCTGTTCCTTGAAAACAATTGAGAAGTAGGGCTTGACTAACTTTATGTATTATTGCCGTACAATCTTGTCTCTTTCCCAAATCAATGGTCTGGTATTTATTTCTTTGCTTGTAATAATGCAAAACCAATCTCCAAAGAACAGGTGGCAAGTGGTTGTATACTAGGAGTTGTTGGCAGGTTTGGGAAAGGATATTTTACACTAAATGCTAAATATAAATATAAATTCACAGATAGCTTTTTTTTAGTTTTCATTGTGGTGTATTCGGTTTTTCCTCAGGTATGATGAAAAACCCTCTGGTATTTCCAGAAGTGCCCAGTTGATTGTACAACCTTAGAGGAATAAGCTGCTAGGGCTCTGTGAACCCTGCCTTTGCAGAGATAAGCAAAAGAGACTAACAGTTGGCCCACACAAACAACTTTTTTCTGTTTGTCTTCTTAAAATATCCCTTCCCATACTAAGGGAATTTAGAATAGTCTAATAGGTGTAACTGTCTCTTGAAGAGACTAAAAGTTCTTTAAAACGTTGCAAACAAAAGTGAATGGTAGGCCAGGCATGGTGATTCACCCCTATAATCTCAGCACTTTGGGAGACCAAGATGGACAGATCACCTGAGGTCAGGAGTTCAAGACTAGCCTGGCCAACATGGCGAAATCCCATCTCCACTAAAAATAAAAAAATTAAAAATAGCCAGTCATTGTGGCCGGCGAAAGTAATCCCAGCTACTCAGGATGTGAGGCAGGAAAACTGCTTGAACCTAGGAGGTGGAGATTGCAGTAAGCTGAGGCACTGCACCTCCAGCATGGGCAACAGAGGGACCAGCATCTCAAAGAAAAAAAAAAAAGTAAGTGGTAGAATTTAGCAATTTGAAAGCCAAAGGACACCACCCCTCCTCCTTAAACACCAAATCCACTGCAGTCATAGGGCACTAACTTTGTGTACTATTTTAGTTGGCTCAGTTTGCATAACAACACACCATATTCTATATGGCTTAAACAACAGAAATTTATTTTCTCCCATTTCTGGAAGCCAAAAAATTCAAGATTATGGTTCTAGCTTATTTGCTTTCTGGGGAGGGCTCTCTTCCTGGCTCACAGCCAGCCACCTCTCTTTATGTCCTCACGTGGCAAAATGGGAGGGAGAGAGGAAGGAAGAGAGTAGCAGGAGGAGCCTATGCACTGGCATCTCTTCTTATAAGGACACCAGTATCAGGGCCCCATGCTTATGACATCATTTAACCTTAATTACCTCTTTGTAGGTACTGTCTCACTTTGGGGGTTAAGGATTCAACATATGAATTGGTGGTGGGGAACGTATAATTTAGCCCATAGCACTCTACCTCTAAATGACCCTGCCTCAGAATTATTTCTGTCCTTATAACATGGAAAACACATCCTAACAGCTCCAAAAGTCTTATTTATGACAGCATCAACTCTAAAATCCAAAGTCTCATCTAAATATCATCTAAATCAGATATGGGTAAGAGTCAAGGTATGATTTGTCCTGAGGCTCTCCAGCTGTGAACCTGTGAAACCACAAGTTACATGCTTCCTAAATACAACTGTGAACAGGCATAGGACAGATGTTCCCATTCTAAGAGGAAAAATTCAGAAGGAAGGAAGGAGTGATAGATCCCAAGCAATTTCAAAACCTGGCAAGTCAAATTCTATTAAATCTTTGGCCCAAGAATAATCCTCTTTAGTTTGATACTCTCCCCTGCAAGCCCACTAGGGTGGCAGCATCACTACCATGGCTTCGCATAGTGGCCCAGTACTGAGGCACTGGTCATGGTTATCCAGGCCTACCAGATCTTAAGAAGCAGCTTCACCATTTGAAATTGAGGATGCCTACTGGGCCTTTGGTGGGAAAAGCAGCCCTGATGTTTCTGCATCACTTTCAGGGTCATTCTTCCTTTTCCTTGAAGAATTGTATATGTGCATGGCCAAATAGCTCTCTGGGCTAGTACTGTAGAATCCAAGTTCAGTAGCCTTCCTTCATTTTGTCCCACTTTGTCCCTTTTAATTCAAACTGGCAATGTCTTTGCTGGTATAATTTCATTCTTATCCCTGACTTCTGCTGAGATAGCTGAATGAGTCCATAAGTCACACCCTCTTCTCTTTATCAAACAGTTGTTTAGCCACCCCTTTG